TCAAGAAGGACCACAGTCTCCTAACTTGTTCCTTTTCAAGATTGTTTTCACTATTCAAGGTCCCTGTGAATTCCATATGAATTTTAAGGTGGGTTTTTCTGTTTCTGGAAAAGAATGCCATCTGAACTTTGATAGAGATTATTGCATTGAAACTACACGTATTGCTTTGAGTAGTATTGTCATCTTAACAATATTAAGTCCTGTGGTCCATGAACTTGAGACATCTTTCCTTTTATTGGTGTCTTTTCCCCTCCACTTTATGGAGACATAACTGACATATAACATTGTGTAAGTTTAAGACGTACAACATGTTGACTTCGTACATTTAGATATTTCAAGATGATTGCCTACTGGTGTCTTTAATTTCTTTCAGCCTTGTTTTCTTGTTTTCTGTGTACAAGTCTTGTGCCTCTTTGGTTAAATTTATTCCTAAGTATTTTATGCTGTTTGATGCTATTCAATGTGGAATTATTTTTCTTAATTTTGGGGGGTTATTCATTGCTAGTGTGTAGAAATGCAACTTACTTTTTTTCAATGGATTTTTGCATCCTGAAACTTTGATGAATTTGTTTATCTGCTCTAAGAGTGTGTGTGTGTGTGTGTGTGTGTGTGTAATCTTTAGAATTTTCAACATGTAAGATTATGTAATCTATGAGTAGGGATAATTTTACATCTTCCTTTTCAATCTGGGTACCTTTAATTTCTTTTCCTGCCTAATTGCTCTGGCTAGAACTTGCAGTTCCATGTTGAATAAAAGCCAGGCATTCTTGTCTTGTTTGCAATCTTTTTTTTCTTTTCTGCCTATGCTCTTAAATTAAAATAAATCTAAACAGTTCTGCCCATGCCCCCTTCCCTGCATTTTCCTGACACACTTTTTTACCCATTCTAGACAATGAGGAAGGCTATTTCCCAGAAGAACTAGCTTGGGTCCATTTTGCACTTTGTAATCCCTCAGACTTCCCTCCCTACCCCCAGCGGTCAGTTTCTCACCTTACCATCTCCTTTGACTTTTATTGTCTTGTTAAACAACAATTTCTTCTCTTTCTCTAGGGCCCAAGACTGGGAGTTTGGCTGGTTGGCTGGTTGGTTGATTTCTAAAGGAAAAACTAAGTTTGATCATTTAATAAGTGTGTTGTGTATGGAAGATGCCAGAGGAATCACCTAGTTCAGATATTAAGAGTAACTGGGCTCAGTGAAATCAGTAGTAACTTTTTTTCTTTTTCTTTTTTTTTAAGTCCCTCATCACCTCAATAGTAATAAACAGGAATGGATGCTTACTGTGAACCAGGCACTTTATTGAGCACTTTTTCATGTTGCATCGCAGTCTTGCAACAACTTAATGAAGCAGCTGCCATGATTTCCTCTTTTAGAGATGAGGACATGCAGATACACACATACTCACGAGATATACATGTAAGAGACTGTATGGTATTTTTCTTTCTCTGATTGACATATTTCACTTAGCATAATGCCATCAAAGGCCATCCATGTCATCACAAATGGCAAGATTGCATTCCTTTTTATGGCTTAATAACATTCCATTATCTATATACCACAATTTCTGTATCCATTCATCCATCAATGAACATTTAGGTTGTTTCCATATCTTGGCTATTGTAAATAATGCTGCAGTGAACATGGGGGTGCACATATCTTTTTGAGTTAGTGTCTTAATTTTCTTCGAATACCAAGAAGTAGCACTGATGTATCATATAGTAGTTCTATTCTTAATTTTTTTGAGGAATCTTCATGTTTTCCATAGTGGCTACACCAATTTGCATTCCTGCCAGCACTGCACAAGGGTTTTCTCTGTATCTTTGCAACAAGTTTTATTTCTTGTCTTTTTTTTATAATAGCCATTCTACAGGTGTGAGGTGATCTCATTGTAGTTTTGTGTTTTCCTAATGATTAATGATGTTGAGCATCTTTTCATGTACCCGTTGACCATCTGTATGCTTTCTTTGGAAAAATGTCTTTTCAGGTCTTCTACTCATTTTAAATCAGATTGCTTCTTTTTTTGCTATTGAGTTGCATGGGTTCTTTATATTGGATATTAACCCCTAATCAGACACATGATTTGCAACTATTTTTCTCCTACTCAGTAGGGAGCTCTTATTTTGTTGATGGTTTCCTTTGCTGTGCAGAAGCTTTTTTAGCTTGATGTAGTCCCACTTGTTTTTGTTGATTTTACTTTTTGTATCAGATTCAGAACATCATGGCCAAGACCTATGTCAAGGAACTTAACCACCTATGTTTCCTTCTAGGAGTTTTATGGTTTCAGGTCTTACATTTAGCTCTTTAATCCATTTTGAGTTAATTTGTGTATATGATATAAGAAAGTGGTCCAATTTCATTCTTTTGCATGTGGCTGTGTAGTTTTCGCAAAACCATTTATTGAAGAGACCATTTTTCCCTCCTTGTGTATTCATGGCTTGATTATGATCATAAGTTTCAAAAGCTTTCAGTTTTTCATGTTGAGCATGCTATTAGCTGTGCATTTTTTTGTATTACGTTCTGTGTTATGTTGAAGCAGTTCCCTTCTATTCCTAGTTTACTGAGTGTTTTCCATCCTGAAAGAGTTTTGTATTTTGCCAAATGTCTTTTCTGCATAAATTGAGATGATTATGTGGTTTTCTTCCTTCATTCTTTTTAGTATGGTTTGTTACTTTGATTGATTTTCATATTCCATTCCTGGGGTAATTCTCACTTGGTCATGGCATACAATCCTATTCAGATTTCCAACTCTTCAGTTTTGGTAGTTTGTTTCTAGGGATTTTTCCATTTCACTTAGGTTATCCAATTTGTTGGCACATAGTTGTTCATATTATTTTTTCTTTCTTTTAACTTTTAAATTGAAGTATATACTTAGTTCATAGTGTGTCAGTTTCTGGTGTACAGCATAATGTTTCAGTCATACATATACATACATATATTCTTTTTCATGTTCTTTTTCATTAAAGGTTACTCTAAGATATTGAATATAGTTCCCTGTGCTGTACAAAAGAAACTTCCTGTTTATTTTATACATAGTAGCTAATATTTACAAACATCAAACTCCCAGCTTACCCCTTCCCACCCCTTTCCCCCCAGTGACCGTAAGTTTATGATGCCTGTGAATATTATTTTCTTAAAATCCTTCTCTGTAAAGTTGGTAGTAATGTTCCGTCTGATTTTAGTAACTTGAGTCTTCTCACTCCTCCTTCCCCTCCCTCTCCGCTCCCTTTTAGTCAATCTAGCTAAAGATGAGTTTTGTTGATCTTTCATAAAATCATCTTCTGGTTTTGTTGATTTTCTCTAGTGTTTTTCAAATTTCATTTATTTCCATTCTCAGTTTTTAGCTTCTTCCTTCTAGCTTTGGGTTGTTTGCTTTTCTTTCTCTAGTTGCTTAAAATGTACTTACTGGTAGTTGACTTGGGGTATTTTTCTTTTACAATGTAGGCATTTACAGCAGCAAATCTTCCTCAGAGCACTATTTTTGCTGCATCCCGTTATGTTCTGGCATGTTGTCTTTACAAAACCCAAAACACTGACATCATCAAATGCTGGTGAAGATGTGGAGCAAGAGGAAGTCTCATCATTGCTGGTGGGAATGCAGAACGATAGAGCCACCCTGGAAGCCAGTTTGTCAGTGTTTTACAAAACTAGACACACTCTTACCATACGATCCAGCAGCTATGCTCCATGGTATTCCCCTAAATGAGGTGAAACACATGTCCACCCAAAGACCTGCACACAGACGTGCACAGCTTTATTCCTAACCGCCAAAACTTTGCAGTGACCAAGGTGTCCTTCAGAAGGTGAATCGATAGTGTAGCGCATGCCGACAATGGAGTATCATTCAGCGCTAAAAGGAAATGAGCTGTCAAGCCAGGAAAAGACATGGAGGAAACTTACACGCACACTACTAAGAGTAAGAAAACAATATGAAAGGGCTACATACTCTATGATTCCAGGAATAAATGTACTTCTGTGGCGAGACGTCAATACATACAAGTGGGAAACTGGGCGTGTGTCAGGGAAAGAGGTATACATGGGAATTCAACAGTTTCTGCTCGGTTGTGCTCTGAACCTAAAACTTCTCTAAAAATAATGTTTACTTAAGAAACAAACTGTGTCCTGAAGATGAAGTGAGGAGTAACAGGATGGTCCAATGGATTCGCGATTCCCATTTTGCAGGATGAGCCTAGAAGGCCCTCACTGTAGCAACATCTGACACATCAGGGTTTCTCTATACAATCTACAAAAACCAACCTGTGAGGGAGCGGCTGGGTGATTTTCCTACCTGGTTAGTTTAGGGCAACAAGACTTGGACCAGAGGGACGCAGGCTGAACCCCAGTTCGGCCAGTTCATGACACTGATTCAGGATGTGTCACTTCAGCAAGCTGGGCTATTCTCCTAATTGGTGAAGATAATAATCACATATGTTAAATGACTTTGTAAAGTATCAAAAACATACAAATATAAACTGCTACTGCTGAATTATTTAAAAACGTAACTTGGAAATGTGCAAGCACTGTTCATGATGCATGACCACACCCTGGCTCTCTCACCTGTCAGCTCCCGGCTCTGGGAAAGCACTGGCGTGTACGCTCATGGCTCATGCACCCAAAGCAAGCGGCTCAGTGCAGGCAAGGCAGTCAGAGGGTGAGAGAGTCCGAATCTCACCGCCTCCTGCAACTTGCAGGAAGAAAAGCTACGGATGCACACGCACCCGCCTCAGGACATACACAATACAGCCCTCCAGCCGACAAGACAAGGGCGCACAGTTCCCAAGCGTCCTTTTGGTTACACAGACGACAAAAAGCAGAGGAGAGGCTTGCACACCGCATCTGTGAAGGCTGGGGCGCAGCGCCCACAGAGCAGAGGCCCCTTCTGCTGCGCTTCCAAGTCCCATAATGCCTTGCTGCCGCACATCTTCTCTTTCAAAGGCCAACATATGAAGTAATTTGGGACAGCAAACACCATGAAAGTTCACTGTGCCTGACAATCTACAGTGAGACCAAGTGTTAAAGCAGAAATTTATTAAAATCCATTTATATAGTGTTTTACAGGCAAAAAAAAAAATGTACAGAGTCCTCAAAATTCAGGCAATCAATTCGGAAGAGCTTCGCAAGAAGACAGATTTCTTTGCCCTCACCCAGAAAAAGATACTGCAGTATGTGCTCCTGGAAAGGGTGCATTTATTACACCGCCTCTCAAGCACAGTCCTACCGAGATCCCCAAGCCTCCGCAGAGAGCGACGAGAGATGAGCAGAGCCCGCTCTTCGGGGCGCGGCGCCCCCCCCTCCCCGGGAGGTGTAGTGTGACAGCGCGGCAGGGCGGGGCCCGGCCGGCGTGGGGGCCCAGCGCCCCGGGTGCCCCGGCTCCCGGCGGCAGCCCTAGCTGCGCAGTGTGGCCAGGCGGGACTGCATGGCCTCCAAGGCCTCCTCCTCCTCCTCCTCCTCCTCGGACGCGGCCATGGCCCCCGGCAGCTCGGGCTCCGGGAGGGCGTCGGGCACTTTACTGGGGGCTTTGCCCAGGGCGCCTGCAAAGAGACGGCACACAGATCAGCGAGGCGGTCCCTCATCCCCCCTGCCTTTCACACCCGGTCAGTCTGACAGGAAAGAAAAGGGGCGATGAAACGGCCGTGGGGTTCTGCTCACTGCGACGAATGTGCCAACACCAGCTTCTAATGACACCAACGTCATAATGACTAAGGATTTAGACTTTAAAAATCTGGGTTCTAAAGCTCTTGATCCAAATTCCTAAACACCACTGAGTACTTAATTTTCAAGATTCATGAAGATGTTAAATATTCTTTCAGTAAAACTCAATTGTTTCCGAATCTTCATAAACCGTTTTTCTGGAATAACTAGTCATCTTTTTCCCAAAAGTTTAAAACAAATAAATAAACAAGAGTTAAATCTTGTCGATTTTATTTTTTATGAAACAGAAAATTCAGAAGTAAAAAAGTTTAAAAACTCATTAACTGTCACTCAGAGATAACTACTGCTTTTATTTACCCCCCTTTCAGACTTTTTCTGTAGGTATGTTTTTTAAAACAAGGGAAATATACACAAAATGTTATGATAAATCACAGAGAAAAAAATGTGACAATGAGTGTGTATATGTCCATGAATGACT